GGTAGCATTTACTTTATTTTCTACTTCATATACACATTTTGGGATTTTCTTTAATTTATATTATGAAAATGTTTTTTAATAAATAAATGCTTCAACGCATCTTAAAAATATATATATATATTTTAATCATTTTAATTCAGTTTGATTGATTTGATTTGATTTGATTCATCAAATATTTGATTTGATTTGATTTGTCAAACATTTGATTTGATTTGATTCAATTTTGCAGAACCCTAATATATACTATAGATCATAGTTTAGATTTTATGCAATATATTAAATTGTATAATTTTTATGATTTTCTTTATAACTGAGCTGATAGATATATATAATAATATATATATAAATCTGATTGATTTATCAATTAATATTAAATATTACAAGCATAATATGTAGATGTAAATGAAGTTAAGAATTAATAGAAACTTAACCTTGATTAATAAGTTTATAATAAACATTTTATACTATAAGAACTCTTATATAAATAAGGAATTGATTAATCAGAATTTAGTAGAATATATCAATTATGATAATAGACTATATTACATATTGCAATATTATTTAATTAAGTTATTAGTAGAATTAAAGGCCAGGTTTAATTTCTGAATTATTTGATAAAATGAATATAATATGACCTTATAAGTTTACTGTTTAGACAAAACTTGTATTATTATTTATAAATCCTTGGATAATAATATAGTTGTAATATTTTATATAGCTGCAGTTATCTGAATAAATAAATATACATACAAAAAGCTACCTCAAAAGGTCACATAGTATCTATTTTTAAACTAGTAAAAATCTAATAGTGATATCTTAGAGTTGCCTTATTAGCCTTTACGTTAATAGAAACTTATATGTAGGAATACTAAGAAGTATAAAACATATAGCTTTAGATTTATGTTTTCTATCAATAGATTCATTATCTAAGTTTAATCACTTAATCACTATTTAATAATATATATTTATATTTATTTATAAATCATACAATATTTGTCAAATATTATTAAGAAATTCAATTATTTTAAAAATTTATGAATTTTAATAAATTGTATTTATTACTATTTTTTTATATGCCAGTATTTATTTCCAAAAAGATATTCAATGATTTAGCAGGAAATTCAAATGTTTTTTGTAAAGTTATACCCTAAAGTTGATTATAAAAAGGCCAAAGAGTTGTTTAAAATCTGGGGAGAAGTTTCACGGTATTTCTAAGATCTGCATTTATTTATTATTTAAAAGAGTTACATTGCATATATATTTATATATTTATATGATAATAGAATTTTCGCAACAGATATTTTTTACCTATCTATTACTATAAATGTTTATCAATACTCTATCTAAATAGTAAATTAAACAAATGAAATGTACGAATTCAGTTCCATTTTTTAGGGGGGAAGTGAGATCTGATAAATTAGATTAAAAAATGACTAAAAATTAAAAAAATTGCTTGTCTGATAACGATAAGCGACCCGACCATATGATTATCAGATTGATAAGATAATTGTAAACTTATAAATATCCGTCTGTTCTCTTCAATCACATCCTCAATAAAATTATTATGAGTTATAAAATTTTTACTAGGTTCTCGTCTGAAAACGCTAAAAATTTAATTCCTCATATGATTAGAGGAATTTCAACATCAAAATCCCATCAAGTTGATACAATTAATCTACGATACGGCAATTCTCAACAACGTATAAAGGTATTGCAATTTTCAGCTAGAAATCTCGTTGCTAAATTCTTAAATTCTATTAATCAAATTTAATTAAGGAAAGGATATCAGCAATTGATAAAGAAAGACCGTTTAGCAATTTCTTAACGGATAGATTTGATCGACAACATACATATCTTCGAATATCGATAACAGAACGATGTAATTTGAGGTGTAAGTTTTTAACTTCTTTTTGACTTGTAATTTATTCGCTTTGTATCACGTATTAATTTATAATTGATATAGGTACTTATTGTATGCCAGCTGAAGGTGTCGAATTAACTCCCTTTCATAACCTATTGTCAACCGAAGAAATCATACGAATTTCGCAATTATTCGTTTCTCAAGGTGTCAATAAGATTAGATTAACAGGAGGTGAACCAACGGTTAGAAAGGATATTGTTGAATTAATTGGTAAGTGAATTTTTCGCAAGAATAGAACGAGTTAAGAATTTAATACTAAATATATATATATATTTTTTTGTTCATTTTATAAGGCGAATTGGGAAAATTGAAACCGCTGGGTTTACAAACTATTGCTATGACTTCAAATGGTATTGCATTGAAAAGAAAGTTACCAAAATTGGTTGAAAATGGACTAAATTTGTTAAATATCAGCATGGATACTTTGGATCCATTTAAATTCGAGCTAATCTCAAGACGCAAAGGTGTGTAATGGTCGCAGTTTGTTTATTTTAATAATTTACTTGAGATATCTAATTCACATTTATTCGCTCGGATTAGGTCTTGAGCGAGTGTTGGAAACAATTGATCAGGGTATTGCGCTGGGACTTCGTCCTATGAAAATCAATTGTGTAGTAATACGTGGTGTCAATGACCAAGAAGTGTTGGACTTTGTCGAAATGACACGTAATAAACCGATTGAAATGAGATTCATTGAATATATGCCCTTTGATGGTAAGAAAAAAATTTTTTTTTATATATGATAAACTAAATTAATAGTATTATTTATTTAGGAAACAAATGGAACAAGAAAAAACTTATTCCATATAGAGAACTGTTAGATAATATTAAAACAAGGTATCCTGACGTTCGAAAGTTATCAGACGATTCTCATGATACTTCAAAGGTATGTCCGTTTACGTTTGCATTTAATTGATCGATAACTACTGATGAATGTTAATTATTCGGTTTCTTATAGGCATATAACATACCAGGATTTGTCGGACGATTTGGATTCATAACTTCAATGACCGATCATTTTTGTGGAACATGTAACAGACTTAGAATCACCGCCGATGGCAATTTAAAAGTTTGTTTATTCGGAAACGCCGAAGTCAGTTTACGTAATCTATTACGTGAAAATGTTCCTGATCAACAACTGCTAGAGATTATAGGAGCAGCTGTCAAAAATAAAAGAAAGCAACATGCAGGTATGTTTGAATTGGCTGAATCAAAAAATCGGCCAATGATTCTTATTGGCGGATAAATAAATAAAGAAATCAGGTTAGTTTGTCTTTTTACGTGCATTTAATATTAATGACAAACAGTTTTTTGACCCGTTTCTTTTTCTTTTTTATAATATTGTCTAAGATTATATTACCTCCTCTTTACATAATAAGATCGTATCCGAGACTGCATCATCTTTTATTCATTCTAAATCATACTTTTCACGTTTATCCCACAACTTTCTATCTTTATCTTCTTTCAATTATCAAAATACATTATTTTCTTATATCCATTCCTTTCATTCATCATATTCTACAAAATCTAATTCGGCAAATTCAAACCCATTTTCTTCCAATAATTACAAGCCCAATTCAAATTCACAATCTGATTCGCCTTCGCTCACTCATATTGATCCTGATAGTGGGCGTGCTTCAATGGTTAACGTTTCCACAAAATCTTCAACTTATCGAACAGCAACAGCATTTGGAAAAGTTCATATTGGACGTCAAGCATTTGAACTTGTACGTACTAATACAATGAAAAAAGGGGATGTCTTAACTACAGCACAAATTGCTGGTATAATGGCTGCAAAACATACAGGAAACCTTATACCGTTATGTCATCCACTTTTATTATCACACATTAGAGTAGATTTAAAATTGGACGAAAAGGATAATTATGCTGTAAAAATTCTTTCAAAAGTTGAATGTGAAGGAAAGACTGGTGTTGAAATGGAAGCTCTTACTGCTGTTAGTGTAGCTGCTCTAACAGTTTTTGACATGTGTAAGGCTGTGGGAAAGGACATGATCATTTGTGATTTGAAGGTTGTGGAGAAAACTGGTGGAAAAAGTGGAACTTGGAGATTTCCAACAAAAGAAACAAATGAATAATCAGAGTAATAATAAAAATAGGCATGAAAGTTATGATAATTTATTTGTAATCAGGATTATATTTTGCTATATTACTTATGATTTATGTGTTTTTAATTATATATTTATATTATATAATATTATTTATTATTTATTTTTTATTATTATTATTTTTAAAGAAATAAAAGGAATTTATCATGATTAGTCCGGAGCGTTAGCGAAGGACTATTTACTTTCTATGCATTGTGTCCGTTTGTCCGCCCGCTTATCATTTGAG